TCAAATGCAGAGTCAATTATGTGCACAAATAAGTAGCAAATACTATTTAGATTTGTAATACCTACTCTGCCCTGGAATGTGAAATTCTTCCCACTTTAGGTTAAAGAAAATATTTAATAATTTTCTGTTAAAATATAAAAATGGGTCAAATAATATAACCACCATCAACATGTAGTATATTAGTAATTAGATTAGCTTTGCTATAGGAAGCAATGCCTAGAAATAGAAAAGAGCATGGGTTTTGCAATAGACAAATATGGGTTTATCGTTCTTTCACTTAACATCTGGGTGATTCCTCTTGATGATTCTGGGTTCCTCATCTTTAACAAACATCATGTCTTCATAGAGTTGTCTGAATCAAATTCAATAACACATATAATCATATAATCTAGTATTAGAGAATCCATCTGGTGCTGGGCTTTTCTTTGTTGGCAAGTTTTTAATAGCTTTTTCAATTTCATTACTGGAAATTGATTTCTTTAAATTTTCTACATTGTCTTTCCAAAGTCATCCACAGTATTTTTTGTGAGTGCTTAGTAAACAGTAATTTTTATTTACATGGAATAACATTTGTAAATCATATAACCTAGAATTAGGAACATATTGAATGCTTAGTAAACAGTAATTTTTTTATAGTTTTAAGGGATAAGGTCAATGTCAGATTTTGAAGCTTAAGACTTTTGAGGTACAACGGGAAGTTCTAGGTAATGATGAGGATTAAGGGTAGCCATTGGTGTGGATGACTTTGGAAAGACAATGTAGAAAATTTAAAGAAATCAATTTCCAGTAATGAAATTGAAAAAGCTATTAAAAACTTGCCAACAAAGAAAAGCCCAGCACCAGATGGATTCTCAGCCAAGTTTTACCAGACCTTTAAAGAAGAACTAATAACAATCCTCAAATTATTCCATGAATTAGAAAAAGAGTGAACCCTTCCAAACTCAGTCTATGAAGCCAGTATCACCCTGATACCAAAAGCAGACAAGACACATCAAAGAAAGAAAACTTCAAATCATTATGCTTGATGAACATAGATGCAAAACTTCTTAATAAAATACTGGAAAAAACATATGAAAACACATTAAAAAGATAGTGTACCATAATCAAGTGGGATTCATCCCAGAGATGCAAGTTTGGTTCAATATACAGAAATCAATAATGTAATTCACCACATAGACTTAAAGATAAGAATCAGATTATTATCTCAATAGATGCAGAAAAAGCATTTGACAAAATACAGGATCCATTTATGTTTAAAACACTAGAGAAATTAAGGATAGAAGGAACATACTTCAACATTGCAAAAGCTATATATGACAAACCCAAGGCCTTTACCTTCTGAAGGAGAAAAGTTGAAAACATTCCCTTTAAAAACAGGAAGAAAAAGGGATGCCCACTTTCACCACTTATATCCAACATAATCTTGAAACTCTAGCTAGAACAATAGGCAAAAGAAGGAAATTAAAGGGAAATAAATAGGAATAGAAGAGATCAAACTATCTCTGTTTGCTGAGAACATGATTTTACATTTAGAAGACAATAAAACTCCACCAGAAAACTTCTAGATTCATAAATGAATTCAGGATACAAAATCAGCATACAAAATCAATACTCATAAATCAATCACATTCTTACAGTCCAGTGATGAATTTGCTGAAAGAGAAATTTGGAAAACTACCTCATTTACAATAACCTCAAAAAAATTTAAGATACTTGGTAATCAGTCTAACAAAAGAGGTGAAGCATCTCTACAATGAAAATTATAGAACACTAAAGAAAGAATTGAAGACCTAGAAGATGGAAAGATTTCCCATGTTTTTGGATAGGCAGAATTAATATTGTCAAAGTGGCCATACTACCAAAAGTACTATGTATATTCAGTGCAATTCCCATAAAATTTCCAATGATGTTCTTCTTAGAAATAAAAAAAGCAGTCATGATATTCATTTGGAAAACTGAGAGGCCCAGAATAGACAAAGTAATCCTTAGAAAAGGGAAGCAAGAGGTATCACAATCCCAGAATTTAGATGGATGTGATGGCACATGTCTGTAATCCTAGTGGCTCAGGAGGCTGAGGCAAGGGGATCATTAGTTTAAGCCAGCTGCAGCAACTTAGCAAAGGCCCTCAGAAACTCAGTGAGATCCTGTCTCTAAATAAAATACAAAAAAAGGGCTGGGGATGTGGCTCAGTGGTTGAGTGCCCCTGGGTTTAATCCCTAGTACCCCCCCCAAAAAAAACCAAAAAATAAAAACAAACCAACAACCAATCCAGACCTTAAATTATACTACAGAGCTATAGTAACAATAACAGCATTGTACTGACACCAAAATAGGCATGAAGACCAATGGAACAGAAGACACAGAGATAAAGCCTCATAAATACAATGATCTCATATTAGACCAAGGTGCCAAAAATATACATTGGAGAAAAAATAACCTCTTCAACAAATGATGCTGGGAAAACTAGAAATCTGTATGAAGTAGAATGAGATTTAACATGTCTCTGACCCTGCACAAAACTCAACTCAAAGTGGGTCAAAAACTTAGGAATTAGACCAGAAACCCTGCATCCACTAGGAGAAAATATAGGCCCAACATTGCAATATATCAACTCAGGAAGGAACTTAACAAGACTCCTAAAGTGCAAGAACTAAAATAAAAAAATCAATAAATAAATGGGATAGCATCAAATTAAAAAGCTTCTTCATGGCAAAGGAAGCAATCAAGAGCAGGAAGAGATAGCCTACAGAATAGGGGAAAATCTTTTCCAACTTCACCTCAGATAGGGTGTTAATATCTAGGATATATGTAGAACTCAAAAATCTTAACACCAAAAAACAAGAGTAACAACAAAAACCCCCAAACCAAATAATCTAATCAACAGAAGGACAAAGGAACTAAACAGACACTTCTAAAAAAGAAGAAATATGAATGGTCAACAAATATATAAAAAATTATTCAATATCTCTGTGAATTAAAGAAATACAAATTAAAACTACACTGGGAGTCCATCTCACTCCAGTCAGAATGGCAATTATCAAGAATACAAGTAACAATATATGTTGGTGAGGATGTAGGGAAAAGGGTACACTCATACATTGTTGGTGGGACTGCAAACTGTATACCACTTTGGAAAGCAGTATGGAGATTCCTCAGAAAACTTGGACGGAACTGGTTCTTGGATGGAACCAGTTATCCCACTCCTCATTATATATGCAAAGGTTTTGAGAACAGCATACTATACTGATGCAGTCACATCAATGTTTATAGCAGCACAATTCACAATAGTTAAGCTACAGAACACCTAGGTGCCTTTCAAAGGAAGAATGGATAAAGAAAATGTGGTTTAATTTCAATGGAGTATTATTCAGCCATAAGGAAAAATGACTTTCTGACATTTTCTGGCAAATGGTTGGATCTGGAGAGTATCCTGCTAAGTGAAATAAGCCAGTTTCCAAAAACCAAAGTTCTGATATTTTCTGATGTGTGCAAACTAACCCACAATAAGGAGTAGGTCAGAGCATTAGACAAAGGGGAATGAATTCTTGTTTTATATTTTACATTCTTTATGTTTCTGAAAAAAAATCATCTATATAAGGATGAGTTAGAGCTACACAGAAAAATAACTACTTTCTATAATTGCAGTGAAAAAAATATATGAATCATTTTAATTGTGCCAATTTTCTTTTTTCCATATTTTTATTGAAGGGGAGGGGAGATAGAAAAAGGAGAGACAGAGGAATGAATCTGACATAACTTTGCTATGAATTATACCACAGCGAATCTCATCATCATGTACATTCATAGGAAATTAATTACAAAAAATAACTATGGGTAAATGGCAGAAAGATTAACATAGGAAAGGGGGCAGAGGTGGGGAGTTGGAATGGAAGGAGAGGTACAATATCTGAATTAGAACAAGCTATATTCCATGCTTGTATAATTCTGTCATCATGGATTCTACTGTCATGTATAACTAATGAACCAAATAAAAATTATTTAATAGAAAAAAACTAGGAAGTCAAATTTTAGTTAAGAGAAAGAAGAGGTGGTATAGGCTTTTAGTGAGGCAAAGCTCTGATTGCTGCTATCAGTTGCCTCCTAGTGTTGGAAGAAACAGAATCCTAAGGGACTAAGAGGCCACGATTACTATTTGCTGGTTTAATACTACTTTTACTACTAATGATGATAATGTTGATAATAATAATTTTGTATTTATCGAGACCTTCCTATATGTTTAATACTGTTTAAGTGCTTTATATACATTCTCATATTTAATCACATCGATCTTGTGAGGTAGATATTATTATTTTCCTGTTTTAGATATGAGACTATGAACTTTAGCATGGAGTGCTTAAGTAGTAGTTTGCTCAGACAGTTCTAGGTCACAAACCCTGAAGGTAGGATTTGATTATGGGTTTCTCTGACTTAACAATTGCTTAGAATCTTGATAGAATTAAAAAGGAAGGGTGAATGAATTCTTGCTTTATATTTTATATTCTTTATGTTTCTGAAAAAATTTCCTCTATATAAGGATGAGTTAGAGCTGCACAGCAAAATAACTACTTTCTATAATTGCAGTGAAAAAAATATGAATCATTTTGATTGTGCCAATTTTCTTTTTTCCATATTATGATGCATTATTGGTGCATCATAGTTGTAAATAAAGGTGCAATTTGTTGTTATGTATTTGTACATGCATAATTGTGCCAATTTTAGCACCAGAGAAACATGATCAACCAAGAATTCTGCACATTGCACCGCTGGCCATAGAATTTTTGCAGGTTAAATTTCTTATTTTAAAATTCTTAATTTAAAATTCAAATTTAAAATTTGCTTCTAACAAAAGACTTCAGTGATGGTTTCTATATTGTTTTTTTAAATCAGAGGTGAGTCAGTTTTCAAATATAGTTTTTCCATTCTAGAGTTCCAGGAGATTGTATTAGCTCTTGATTCACTTGAAGGTGACATGATATCTGGGGAGAATTTAGAAGATTTTCTAAGAAATATTGGGATTAAATCACCTAAAGAAGAGGTAGAGAAAATTCTTCAGTCAGATTTGGTTTCTGGTAAGCATTTTGAGTATCCATTTCAGGTGTACCTATTGGTGGGAGTACCTATAAAAAAGGTGTGTAGTCTATAGATATTTGCTTATGTTACTGCAAATATTTTTGAAAAGGAGACTTTACTCTTTTGCAATTCTAATAATATTTTTTAAACAAACAAATGTAAATTTTGTGGGGAGTGGGCTTGTTGAAATCCTCTCTTATAGATATCTTGATTTAATGAGTGATGAAAAGTTTGAGAATTCAAGTTCTGTGACTAGAAATCCTAGCTTTGCAACTTTTGGCCACATAAAGTTACTGGACCTTTCTTAGAACTTTAGTTCTATTATAGGTAGAATCAGAACTAGTATATCTACAGCCTTTTGTAGGGTTATAGTAAGGAATAATAGATGGAAATGAATCCTGAAGTACTATATAAATAAAATGTTCAAGAAGTATATAAAAACTATGTTGATTTTGATACTAGTCTTTAATATTATATTGTCCATGAGTTCTTGTTTTTCACTTCCTTCTTTCCTTCCAGAAGACAACATGGTGAATGTTAAAGACTGTATGAGGGCTTTGAGGGACACCCAGAAATTTTCCAATTTTATTGGTAAGAGCTTTATGGCAAAACTGTTAGAAAGTAACAATTAGGTTGTTGCTAATAGAACTTATTCAAAGATCATTTAGTCAGATACTATATTTGGTGCTGAAATCATCTTTAGAATATCTGTTATGGTTTGATTATATTTTGTCCCTTCTGACTCATGATGGAGTTTAATCCCCATTGTGAAGTATTCTAGAGAGTGGAAAACCTAATCTGATTACAGTGTTAGAGCTGAGGTCTTTGGGAATTGATTAGGTTTATAAAAGGTAATCAAAATAGGACTCTCATGATTGAGTACTGGTGACTTTATAAGAAAAGAGAATGACCAGAGGATACATACCTCTTTACTGTCACCATGGATCACCTTGAAATTTGGCCAGCAGGAAGACCATCACTAGATGTGACCGATTGACCTTGAATCAGAAACATATGAGCCAAAATAAATTTTTTATTTTTTTAAGTAACATGCCCAATATATATTTATATATTCTTTGCAACAGAGAGAAGACCAAGGCAATTATCTGTGTCAATTATTTATTTCATCTGTACTTGAAAACTTCCAGTTATAGGGAGTTTACTACATTTTATTTAAATTTAAGAATTATGCATTTGTGATAGAAAAGACTGGAAAAATCAAAAGGTTGTAATATATTTCAATAGTTAAAATAATGCATCTTTATTACATTACTAACAACATTAAAAAATCTTTTTAAAAAACTAAATGACCAGAAATACAAGAAATATAAAGTACAAATGTCTTGTAATATTACTCTCGGGGCTATGCATGCCTGTTAATGTTTGGCCAATATTCTTTTAGACTCTTTTTCTTTACATCTTTACATCTTTACTCTGTAAATGTTTGGCCAATATTCTTTTAGACTCTTTTTCTTTACATCCACGAATAGTTGTGTATTCTGAAATTACTTTTAAACACATTATTTTGTCCCTAATATTATACAACTTTCCTAAAAAAATTATAGTATATCTTGGATATTGTTCCATGTTTTATTATATTATATAAGCCTCCCTCATTCTTTTAAGAGTATATAATAATCTACTGCAGTGATGCACTATAATTTTATCCACTATCTTTTTAATGAATATTTTATTTCTATTTTATTTTTACTTTTACAAACATTTTGATGAATATCTTTATCAACATGCATACAAAGCTTTTATTTTTATTTTCATTTTTTAATTTATTATTTTCTTTTATTGGTTATTCAAAACATTACAAAGATTGCAGAATCATATCAGTTACACATCCACATTTTTACATAATGCCATAATAGTAACTGTTGTATTCTGCTACCTTTCCTATCCTCT